ATGAGATGAAGATCTTTCACTAAGGTCCAATCTGGGTTTTCTGAGTCCTTTGTTTAGTTGGCTATTAGAACACCAGCAATGGACCAGTGCCCAGAAAGAACACAGGATGTATTATTGTTATTCATTTGCTTCTTTGCTGGTGGATGTGTGGATATCTAATTTGACAGGAAGGAAGTGAAGTATATTGGAAGGAACAGAGATTGCATTAGGAGTGAACCATCCTGGGTTCTAGGCCTGACTTGTAGGAGCTACAGTAGACCTTACAGGTCACTAAGTACAACTCCTTTATTCTGCAAGAGAGGAAACTGAGGCTGAGAGAGTTCAGGGTTCAAGGTTTATAAGGTCCTTCCAATGCTATGGGCAAGTCACGTAATTTCTCTAAGCTTCAGCTACAATGTCTTTAAAGTGGTTATACCTGCTCTATCATCATCATGAGAAGCAAATAAGATAGATATCAGAACTCTTTGACAAGTTCAACAAATGTGAATGTTGAACAAGTATCATCTAAGCAAGAGTATGGACTAAGAGCGAGCATCTCAGTACCTGAGTTCTTGCTTAAGGAAGGGTCCTCAGGAAGCCCGGTCCCCTTTCCCTTTCAACCAGATCTCAGTACTGCTGATCGCCTCGACGATTCTTCTGAGGTTTTAAGAGATATAGGACCCATTTGGGGTGGTTTAACAAGATTCACTTATTGTTTTCTGGATACCTCTACTCCTAGCCTCTAAAGATGATTCTAGTTCTTCTTTGGAAGCCAGTCAAAGGCAGACAGGCTTCATCAATTCAAGAACTTGACTCCCTAGATGGCTTCTCTAGTTGAGAAGGATGCATAAGTTCCTGGGGTCCTAGAAGACTTTGAAGATTTTTTTCTTCCTTCCCAGTTAATAATGTCGACTACCCCACAGGGCAGTGATTAGCTGCCCCATCCTCTCCTAACTTCAGCACAGAAGCCGCTCCCTCCAGGATGCAGCAATAAGTGACTTGATCTCGAAGCTGGCACGGCCGCTGAGCTGTTGGAGGCTGCAGCTGCCTTGGCTGTACACATGCCCCCCTCATGGGATCTTTCCAGTCATTTAGCTTCTCCACTGACTCGCAGTCAAAATTAACGGCGTCTCCTGTGGGTCCTCTAAGCACTCCACCCACCCAAACTCTCTGCTCTCTGTCATTCATCAGACAACCAGCGTGAGCATGAAACTTGGCTCATTTTCCCTTGTAGCTGTTCTCCCGGCACGATGAGAATAACACCTCAGATTGCAGGACCCACTCCCAGGAAGCTGGCTGGATTTGGGGAGAACCAGTCTTCCCACTCCATGCCTATCAGAAGTCGTGTAAGTGCAAAGAGTGTTGAATTTCGAGTTTTGAATCTTGGCTCCTCCACTTACTACTAGCTGCAGGACCCAGGGCCATTTCTCTCTGAGCCTCAATATATTTTTTTTAAACTTTATTTATTAATTTTAACATTTAATAGTATTTTTTTCCAATTACATGTAAAGATAGTTTTCAACATTCATTTTTGTAAGATTTTGAGTTCCAGATTTTTCTCCCTCCTTCCCTCCCTTCCTCCCTCTCCAAGACAGCAAGCAATCTAATATAGGTTATACATGTTCAATCCTATTAATCATATTTCCACTTTAGTCATGTTGTGAAAGAAGAATCACAATAAAAGGAAAAAGCCATGAGAAAGAAAAAACAAAAAAACAAAAAAGTGAAAATAGTATGCTTTGATCTGCATTCAGACTCCATAGTTCTTTTTCTGGATGTGGATAGCATTTTCCATCACAAGTCCTTTGGAATTGTCTTGAATCATTGTATTGCTGAGAAGAGCTGAGTCTATCATAGTTGATCATTGTACAATATTGCTGTTACTGTGTACAATGTTCTCCTGGTTCTGCTCAATTCACTCAGCATTAGTTCATGTAAGTCTTTCCAGGTTTTTCATCCACCTGCTTGTCATTTCTTATGGAACAATACTATTCCATTACATTCATATACTACAACTTGTTCAGCCATTCCCCACTTGATGGGTATCCCCTCAATTTCCAATTCTTTGCCACCACAAAAAGAGCTGCTATAAATATTTTTGTATATGTCAGTCCTTTTCCCTTTTTTGTGATCTCTTTGGGATATAGATCTAGCAGTGGTATTGCTATATCAAAGGATATATACAGTTAGACCCTGAGCCTCAATATCTTTATCTGTATAATGGGGATCATCTGATATTTGCTCTATCCAACTCACAAGGCTGTTGTATGGAAAGCACCTTGAAAAATCGGAAAAACACTATATAAATGTGAATTAATATTGTTTAACCTAAAGAAGAAAACAGGGTTTGAAGAAGAGAACATGGTTCTTCTGAAACTGGGCAATAGAATAGTTACCAAGCCTTGGATGCCTTGGTATGGCTAAAGGAAAATCCTCAGGGCCTAAGAGTTTAGGCTGGGGATGGCAACCTATAGCTTAAGTGCCAACTATGCCATACAGGCTGATTTTCAGTGGCTCATAGGCTTGCTATTATATACGTACACGCACACACATTCACCCCTAAAAACACTTTAGAGGCAGTACTGTGTATAACAGCAACAGTATATTGGCATAAGTATATCATTGGAGTCATGGCTCGTTGGTATAATCTCTAACTGCTTTTATAACTTGCTCAAGTCTTTTCCCTCTCTGGGTCTCAATTTCTTCATCTTTAAAATGAATAGTTTCAACTAACTTGGTATACTCAGAAGAGTATTTGGCTTTGAAGCCAGTTTGAACTCAGGTTCAAATCCCAACTTGTATACTTATTGTCTGAATAACCTTGGGCAAATAACCAAGGGGCTCACTCTGGGACTCTGTTTACTAATCAATAAAATGAAGGGATTAGATTAGATGACCTCCAAGTTATCCTGTTTCAACCTGTGAATTATAATCCTATGACCAGATTACCCTAAAGACGTCTTCTAGTTCTAAAATCCTCTATTCTATGATGCTGGGTACCAAGAGTATAGGGCAGAATGCATAGAGTTCTGGGAGGCCAGGCATTGCACATAGTCAGGGATTTGGAAAGATTAGTTGAATTGAATTGAACTGATGAAAGGTAATGGAGAAATCGAAGCTGGCTTTGAAACCAGTGAAACAAAACTTCCTGAAAGAAATGACTCTGGAGTTTGGAACAGAAGAATCTAGCTTGATGAAGAAGGAATAAAGCTTGTGGGAAGAACACAACCTGTTTAAAAAAAAAGGTTGGAGATATAAGAGATTGGTTTCATTCATTCATCATTGAAGACCTCTTCTAAAACAAACATTTATTAAGCACTTACTGTATGCAAAGGACTCTGCTGGGTTTGGATATACAAAGACAAAAACATTAAAAATATTTCCTGCCCTGAAGGGACTTACATTCTACTGAACCTTATGGGAATAAGGAAAACAATATGTACACAGATATGTAAATAGAAGATAATTTGAGAAGAAAAGAGCACTGATCCTTGGTGAGATTCAGGTGAGTCTTCCCATAGGAGAAGGCAGCTGAGTTGAACCTCAAAGAAAAGTAAGGATTCTAGGAGATAGAGGTAAAGAGGGTATTTATCCCAAGGAAGAGGATAGCCCATGAGAAGGCACAGAGATGTCATGCCAAGTTCAAAGTACGTAAAGAGGAGTGATATGAGGTAAGTCTGGATAGATGCGAAGAAGTTCTATTGGAGACAAACGTCAGAGTCAGGACTTCGAATTTTATTCAGGAGACAACAGGGAGCCATTGAAGGTTTTTGAGCAAGGACTGTTATGGTCTTGGATTCGGGTTCTAACTTGAAGTTAGAAAATTCCTCCTAATTCCTGTCTACTCCCTGATTATCATTTTATATCTCCAAAAACCGTTTGGGAGGCTTCATCTGAAGCCTGTATCTGGGGAACATTAACTTGACCATGCATTGGAAATGGGAGGTATTAGAGGCAAAGAAACCAATGAGGAAGCTGTTGCCATAGGCCAGATGAGGGGGGTTGAGGGTCTGTGTGAGTGGAGAGAAGGGAATGGATGAGAAAGATGTTAGTGATGGAGTAGAATTGGTAAGACTTGATGACTGATTGGATAAGGGAAATGGGGGAGAGAAAAGGGTCAGGAATGAGTCTGAAATTTTAAAATGGGGTGACTGACAGGATGACTTCAACAGTCAGAGGGAAGTATGAGGGCAGGGAAGCTTTAGGGAGGAAAGTAATGAGTTCCATTTTGGACATGTTGAGTTTGAGAAGTTCATGGGGCATTGAGGCAAAATTCAACAGGTAGCTGATAATGTAAGTATGGAGCTCAGGAAAGAATTTGGGTTGAAGGAAAAAGAAACAAGCATTTATTACATACTTACTATGTGCCAGGCACTGTGCTAAGTGCTTTAGAAATATTATCTCATTTGATCCTCACAACAACCCTGGGGAGTAGATGTTATTATTATCCACATTTTATAGGTGGGGAAACCAAGGCAAATAGGGTTAAGTGACTTGCCGAGAGTCACACAGCTAGTAAGTGACCAAGGCTATGTTTGAACTCTGGTCTTCCTGTCCCTGGGTCTGGTGCCCTATCAACTATGACATCTAGCTACCCTGTCATCTGTTATTGAATCCCTTAGAGTCTACCAGATCACCAGGAGAGATAGAATGTATAAAAAGAGAAGAGGATCCAGGACAGTGCATTGAGGGACACCCACACTTAATGAGAATGATGATAATTCAGTAAAGGAGGTTGAGAAAGAATGGTTAGACAGGTAGGAGGAGAATAAGAGGAGAGATATGTCATAGAAGGTATATCATAGGGCAGTTAGGTGGAACAGTGGATAGAGCATTGAGCCTGGAGTCAGGAAGACCTGAGTTCAAATCTGGCCTTAGATACTTACTAGCTGTGTGACCTTGGGCAAGTCACTTAACCCTGTCTGCCTCAATTCCCTCATCTATAAAATGTGCTAGAGAAGGAAATGGCAAACCATTCAATCAATTCAAATCAAGTGGTATCTCTGCCAAGAATACCCCAAGTGACTGAACAGCAACAACAAAGTCATGGAAGACAAGGAGGCAATCAATAACATCCAAAGTTGTTAAGGTGAGATGATAAGGACTGACAAAAAGGCCATTGGGTTTAGATGTTAAGAGCTAGTTGGCAACCTTAATCAAATTCTTAGGGTGGGAAGCCAGATTTAGAGGGATAGAGAAACAAGAGGGGAGTGAAGAAATGGAGACAACCAGTGTGTACAACTCATTCTAGGACTTTGCCAAAACAGATAAGTTTGAGACAATAGCAGAATCAAGTGAAGGTTTTTGTAAGTGAAACACCCCTCTGGGATACTTCCCCAGCCTAAACTCTCATTCCCCAGAAGGTGACTGATGCTTCCACAAGCTCCACAGTTTTCCTGTAGGTCTAGACTCTTCCTTCCATAGCTCAAGACCCCCGCCTAATGTGTATCCTCTTAGCAATTAGCCAGTAGACACAACTAGCTCATAGCAAGGGTATTTACCAAGATAGCACAGTAACAACAGAAGCTCCAAGTATTTCCTCTACATGCCTAGGCCTTACTCTCCACAATGTATTTGGGAAGAGTGGGTACAAACCTGGAGTACAATGGTAGTGAGGTACGTGTGGCCCAAAACTCTGATAAGTCAGGCTTCGAAATCATTTCTCTCTCCACTCTTCATGGAGTCCTCTCTGCAGTTCACCTCATGATTGCCAAGGTCTCACTTCTCACTCAAGCTGCTTCTGGCCTTGGGTGACTTGCCTCTCTGTATCCATGTCTGTCTGAGATATGTGTCTCTGCTTCTTCAACTGCACCTCAAGCTTTCTCAAACTGACTTTAAGTATTAGATAAGGTATCTCTTTTTGGTGCTAGATAAGTGCCAGATAAGATACCTCTGCCCAGTAGACTTCATGGTCAATGGGGTTCAGGGGAGGGAAGGAGAGAAAAGTCCAAGGTGGAAATCAGCATTCTTCCCCATTCATCCAAATTGCCAACTGTCTCTAGGGCTGAGCTATTTAAAGCCCAGGCCATAGTATGGACATTTTGACTCACTCAGGAGGTGTTCATTCTTCATAAAAGGATTAAAGGGTGTTAACACCTTGTTAAAACATTAACACCTGATCATCTATGATTATATCCTGTGACTGGGACCAAATCTGCCTCCCTTGCGGCCACCCTCCCTCCCTCATTTAAGGACAGAGGAGACCTGAGCTTGTTTGCAGATAACAGGAGAGATAGAAGATCAGCCCGAAGATTAGAGGGGGTGGGGTAGGGAAGATAAAAAAGGGGAATTCCTGGAGAAGAGGAAAGGGGGTGAAGTCAAGGGCACCAATATAGGGACTGGCCTTGACAAGAAGAAGAACCTCTCCTTCATCAGAGTCTGAAACAGAGGGGACAATTGTGATTAAGTGGAAGAAATTTGAGGTATGGAATAGGGGAGAAGAAGGAGCTCGGGGTGAATTGGCTTGATTTTCTCAGTAAAGTGGGAGGTAAACTCCTTTGCTTAGAGGGAAAAGGTGATATAAGAGGTTTGAGAAGAAAAGAGAAGGCTTAGAATATCTGCTGTAGGGAGTATGATGGAGAGCCTATGATGGATGAATAAAAGGATTGTTCTGCAGCAGTAAAGTCCCATTGACACTAGATAACATCAATTTGTGGTGGATCTAGTTGATATACTTCTCTGACTTTCTTCAACTGCATTCAGCAGCACATGAGCAGGAGCAGAGAAGACAGGTGGTGAGGGCAACCTGGAACTGGGACCTAGAAAAGTACAAGTGATAATTAGTCAAGAAGGTAAAGGATTCAATGGCAGAAGATAGACTGTAGTTGAATCAGTCAATCCAATCGTGGGATTGGATTCAAAGAAGAAAACTGGATCAGAGCTAGGGTGATGACTTGGGAGGACAGAGAGGAGTAAAAGAACTCAGAGTTTTGAGGAAGAGAAAGAGTGTATTTAGGAGAGATGAGTAAGAGGGAGAGATGAAAACAGAGGAAATTATAGTCAATAGAGTGGAATTTCAGAGTTTGTTACTATAGGAATTGCTATTATAGGAATTGTTATTATAGGAATTATAGGAATGTTATTATAGGAATTGTTATTATAGGGGTAGCCCAGGTATGGGTGATGGTCTATGAAATCTAGGTCATGACCATAACTTTGGGTAGCTTAGGTGGAACGAAGAGTTCGATGAACTGGAAAGCCAGGTTGTCCAAGAGGACATCAATGTATATAGTGTAGTCCTTAAGTGTGAGGGCAGTAGGAAGGTAGGAAGACTGTGATGAATAATAGAAAAGTAGGGCTGAGGTAGGTAAGCAGAAGAGAACAGGAAAAGGTAGCAAGTAAAAAGGACTTCCATTTCAGTAAACAATTACTTTAAATCATAGAGAAATAGGAGACAGGAGTTTGTCGGCCACAATTTGGTGAAATCCAGTTAATCTGTAGTCTCTCCAGGGTCCTATGGTAACTGAGCATGGCATTAGGGTGAGGGCTGTGGCTTTATCTTCCACCAGTAATTACTCTAAACCAGCATTTCTTAAACTGTGGGTCTTGACCCCATATGGAGTCCTGAAAAATTTGGTAATAGTAAAAGGTTTCTGAACATGCAATGACCAAAAATTAATTAAAAATCAAATGTGTAATGAATCCAAGGTGTTTCAGGCACCGCTTGCCCATCTTGCATCGCACAACTTCACTGCAGCCTTGGTTCTGAACACAAAGCATGCACACTTTGCCCTGCACATGCCCTCACTCCAAGCAATGCCAAGGAACACTGCTGAAATGCAGAAATGCAAAAAGGGGTCACAAGTGAAAAGAGTTTAAGAAGCCCTGCAGTCTAAACAGTGGGGAGCTACGTGCATGTTGGATAGGCACAGAAGGGAGCTGAATCTAATCACCTGGGATGGTAAGCACCCAGTTCATACTGAACCACACTGGGCCAAACCGAACTCACACTCAGCACTAGTCCTGTAGCCCTATGCTAAGGAGGCTGGTCATGAAGCACTCTTAGAAGAAATCCCACATGCAGAGCAGGCATCAGTCTCCCAATCTCTGAGTCCCTCTTATGTGCTAAAGTCAGGCAGAAAAAATAATGATGATGACAATACTGATAACAATAATAATATTTCATGCAAAGTGAAGAAAGCAGAACCAGGAAAACAACATACATATTGACTTCAACAATGTAGAAAGAAAAAACAATAACAAAAATCAAAACTGAGCACTGTGTAATCAACATTTCCAAGTTTGGAACCAAACAGATTAGAACCCAATGGTGGTTTGAGCCATGAGACAAAAGGACTGATGCTGTCCCAGGTCCTCCAGACCCTCTTACCTTGGCTCATCTCCCCTAACTATATTCCTCTCTGCCCTCCCCACCCCACCTACTCCAACCCAGAATCTATGATTTGAATCATAGAATTTTTTACTCTATCTCACCTATGCTTCATCCATCCATCCATTCATTCATTCATTCAGTCAGTCAGTCAGTCAAGTCAGCAAACATCTATCAAGCCCATAATGTGTGCATAACATTGTGTTGGGAAGTAAGAGGGCTATAAAATTTAAATAATGTGGGTTCCTGTCCTCACAGAGCTTATTGTCTTGGAAAAGGAGAAGATACAAATATGGATAACTATAATACTTAGCATTCCATGAGAAGTGCACTCAAAAGGTACGTAACAAAGTTCTATGTGTGTTTCCATATAGAAGGTCATTACCAATGGAAAAATAAGGGACAAGCTTCATGGAACTGGGGAATATGTGGTATAGTAGGAAAAGGGTTCTGGGTTCAGAGGACCTGAGTTCAAATATGGGTTCAGCTACTGACTGCCTATATGATCTTGAATAGGTCATTATATTTCTCCAGAGCTTCATTTCCTTATGGAATAAATGGGTTGGACTAATAATGATAATGATAGTAATAGCTAACATTTATATCAAGCTTACCATGTGCCAGGCACATTTATTTATCACAATAACCCTAGGAGGTAGCCATTTTTTTTTTTTTTTAGGCAATTAGGGTTAAGTGATTTGCCCAGAGTCACACAGCTAGTAAGTGTCAAGTATTTGGTCTGAGGCCAGATTTAAACTCAGGTCCTCCTGACTTCAGGGTCAGTGCCCTATCCACTGAGCCACCTAGTTGCCCCTGGTAGGTGCTATTATCATTCCCGTTTTATAGTTGAGGAAACAGAGAGGCAGATTGAGGTTAAGAGACTTGCTCTGGGTCACACAGCTAGTAAGTATCTGATGGTAGATCTGAACTCAGGTCTTCCTGGCTTTGGGATCAGCCCTCCATCCACCTACCTGCCTGGATGAGCTCCTTTCCAGCTCTAAATCCTATAAATCTAGAAAATGGCAGTGAGATGAATTCTAAAGCACTGAGTGGGAATTCAAAGGATAAAGAATGAGTAAAAGGACATGCTAGGTATAGGAAAAAGCTTAATAAAAGACATGGAAGGAAGAAACCAATTGGCTAACCAGGAGAGGGGAATGGGCTGAAAAGATATCAAGATTTTGGAGGGCATTGAATGCCAAACTTTATTCATCAGGCAATAGGGAGCAACTGCCTATCTTTGAGGAGATGAGGGACATGACTAGATCAAAGCATAAGAAGGATTAGTCTAGCAGTATCATGAAGGATAGATTGGAGAAGACAGAGAATGAAGATGGGAAGGCCTGTTAGGAGGCAATGAAAATAACCCAAGTGGGTGGTAATATAGCACTTATTTAGTCATTTTTCACTCATATGTAACACTTCATGACTTCATTTGGGGTTTTCTTGGCAAAGATACTGGAGTGGTTTGCCACTTCCTTCTCTAGCTCATTTTTTTTAGGCAATTATGGTCAAGTGACTTGCCCAGGGTCACAAAGCCAGTAAGTGTCAAGTATTTGGTCTGAGGCCAGATTTGAACCCAGGTCTTCCTAACTTCAGAGCCGGTGCTCTATCCACTGTGCCAACTAGTTGCCCCTTTCTCCAGCTCATTTTACAGAGGAAACTGAGGCAAATAGGGTTAAGTGACTTGCCCAGGGTCACACAGGTAGTAAGTGTCTGAGGTCAGATTTGAACTCAGGAACATGAGTCTTCCTGACTCCAGACCCAGGGCTCTATCCATTTGACACCTGTAATACAGTAGTAGTAGTGAAGATAGAAAGGAAGGAACAGAGAGGCCCACAGGACTTTGGAATTCTAAGATGCAAATATTTCTGTATTTGTATCTCCATCATTTAGCACTGTTGTCTGGAACAGAGCAGGCACTGCCTGCCTCTAAGATCTTCGTGTCTCCCACACTGGCAAGGTCAGGCAGTTAGATTCTCTTTAAGTCATTGCTTGTCTGACCTAACAAACTAATAACAATGACAACAGAAAACTGACTCTGAAGCTAAAGGATCTGGGTTCAAATCTCATCCTGAATGCTTATTACCTTGGGTGATCTTGGGCCTCAGTTCCCTCATTTGTTAAATGATGAGTTGCATGAGATGAGCTCTACAGTCCCTTCCAACTCTAAATCCATATAATCCTATGACCTTAGGAACTAGAAGCCCAGAGTCCCAGGTGCAAATCCTTGTATTATCAGACATCACACCCTCCTTCCTTCTCTATGTCTCTGTGGCTCTACTCCCTGTTGTTCCCTTGCCAATCAAGTGATAAAAATGCACCTTCTTCCCACCCATGGATTAGATAAAAGGAAACGAGTTCATATCTGTAAAGATTTTAATAATACTATCTAGGACTCCTTGAGGTACGACTGCTTTTGTCTTTTAGTGTACATGCTCAGCACTTAGTACAGTGCCTGTCACATAATAGGCGCTTAATACATGCTTGTTGAACTGGATATCAAACAACCCTGAGATAATATGGTATAATGGATAGAGAACTGGTTTTGCAGCCAGGAAGACCTGGGTTTGAGTCATGTCTCTGACATAAACTAGCAGTGTGACCTTGGGCAAACTACCTAACCACTTAGTCTGCCAGGCAAATTTTTGATATTGCATATTGCCGAAAAGGTGAGGACCCTTCAAAATCCTTCAATGGGAGTTCCCGATACCAGTGAAATCCTAGCCTCAATTCCTAACCTGTCAAATAGCTATAGGTAGAAGGCTCTTAAAACATCTCAAGGGCAGGAAATTCTAGCCCCTTGGTCAGCCACCAACTCAAGACTTTATCATCCTAATTTACCATTGGGAAGTTCTTTCTGGCATCAAACCAGGGTACCTCTAATTGCACTGTAGTGAGTGGGAGTTGGTTAAGATACCTCTGACCAGTTGATTCCTTCACCTTACCCCTCTCCCCACCCTATCCCAATTGATGAAATGAAAAATGGGACAGATAACAGAGACAAATTCAAGGACATACCAATTCTCTGTTAACCCCCTCACTTGAAGAAATCCTTAATGATGGAATGTGAACAGCAGTTAGCTATTAACTAGTGAAGACGGCATCTAGGTGGCACAGTGGATAGAACACTGGGCTTAGAATCAGAAAGGCTTACCTTCATGAGTTCAAATCCAGCCTCAGACACTTACTAGCTGTGTGACCCTGGGCAAGTCACTTAACTTAAATGAGCTGAGGAAGGAAATAGCAAACCACTCCATTATCTTTGCCAAGAAAACCCCAAATGCGGTCATGAAGAGTCAGACATGACTGAACAAGTGAAGGACAGGCCATGCCCCTGGTGGTCTTCAGGGAAAAAAATTAAAAGGACACACTCCTTCGATAGAAATATGTAGTTGAGGTAAGAGAGCTCTGAGAAGTGTAGCAGCTGAGAAGAAAGTCAGCTACTAATTCTAGAGAGAACTACCCTGGCAGTCAGGAGTCAAGCTGCTGAGAGACCCAGCTGAGTGACCTGCCCAGAAAAGACACTGCACCCAAGGCAGAGTAGTATGAGGGCATCATGAGAAGAGCCCAGTACGGCCAGAAGCCTCAGTTGCCTTGGCTGTATGTTCCCTATATGTGTGCCTCATTACCAGCATACTCTATATATATGCCAACTCTTCACACTGACATTCTGTATGTTTATTGGAGGTTTAAGGAGGGAATTGTGGTTACCGCTTGTACTATGCAGTTAGTAAAATACCTTTGTTTTGGACTAATTGTGCCTTCTTGCTGACTTTTAAAGAAGAACACATATGTGGGGGCTCATGGGGCTCTAATTTTATGAGTAAAGACCTTGAACGTAGTTAGTATTGGTGCTCTCTGGGGAATAACCCATCATGGTAAGTGAGTGCTGGGGAAACAGATTCTAGGAGGTGCTTCAATGGTTTAAGGCATAGAGTAGCAGTATTAATTTGCACTGATTGACAGATATCTTTTCTGTTGGGAGCTCAGGGCGCTATGGACCTAGCAGACATGTAGCAGAAACAGCCAGAGATAACAGATCTGAATTCTAATCCTCATCCATACAGCTGGTGTGTGACTAGGCAAGTCACTCTCTTTGGGTCTCTGTTTTGCCCTATGATGAGACTACAGTACCTGTTATACATGTCATATGTGAAATCTTGTGATTGAGACATTGGTTTTATTAGTGCAATGAATCCCCTGGTGTGGAAAATCCCTCCACCAGAGTAAGTTGGCAACTGTAACTTAAGAGTTAGATACAATTGCTTGAGGGCGAAGACATTCAGTCACTTGCTTATGGTTATAAAACTAGCGTGCATAAGACATAGCACTTAAATACAGGTCTTCCTGACTCCAAGGTCAGCCCCTCTATCCATTATACCAGGCTGCCTCACAAGATTAGATGGATAAAATGAGGTAATAGGTGAGACAGGCTCTCTGCAGATACAAAAAATGATATGATTATCCTGAAAATGGAGAGTCCCATCATTGGACATTTTTAAGCCGAAGGGTTCCAAAGCCATCTTCCCTTTGCCTCATTTAGAAGTAGCTTGTGGCTCTCTTTCAATTCTCTCCTCCTCTCCTTCCCCACTGCTGCAATGGGTGGGGAAATGCAGCAAAGCCCAGCTGTTGCTGCAAGATTCATTTATTTTAATAAAAGTTAAATCTCCCACGTTATATTTCCATCTACAAACCATCAATATTTCAGGGCTGTTGCACAGCCCAGGGTGGTGGAGATGGCCCCCTCAGTGTCGTTGCTGCATCTTCTAGTTAAAAGTTCACCACAGAAAATTTGATGCCTAATAAATTGGAGCCTTTCCTGCTTTAAATCATTTTTAAACCATGATTGCCGAAGAAAATATAATTATTACAAACTGGTCATTTGTAACTGAGAAATCTCATTAAAATGATTCCATACTGGAAAGGCAGGTGGGAGGAGGGGGTGATGCAGTGTGGGGTGGTGGTGATGGTGGTGGTGGTGATGGCTAGGTGGGAGTTAGAGGACCAGGAGCCTCAAGGAAGACCTCTTAAGGACTTGAGGCAGGCTCTTCATTACAGATTGATTATTTCTGGTGATTGAGCACGGAATACAATCATCTCATCATTTCCAGGCCAGTGTGGGGATGGGGGGAGGTTGGAGAGGAGAGAAGTAAGAGCCTTCTGGGGACCTTTCCTTCTCTACCTACTCGTCTTAGCTGTAGAATTATTAGTGAGCATATCAAAAAGAGAAGGGGAAGTCTGCTTTACGTGTGAAAACACACATTGTTACTTACCTGATTCACTCTTCTAGAGACTATTTTCATTTGCTTAAGGGCAGCTAGGTGCCACAGTGGATAGAACTCTGGGCCTAGAGTCAGGAAGACTCCTCTTCTTGGGTTCAAATTTAGCCTCAGACGCTTCTTAGCTATGTGACCTGGACAAGTCACTTAACCCTGTTTGCTTCGGTTTCCTCATCTATAAGATGAGCTGGAGAAGGAAATGACAAACCACTCCAGTATCTTTGCCAAGAAAACCCCCAAACATGAAGATTGGGGTCACAGAGTCAGACACGACTGAACAACAACAACAACAACACAAAGATTGATTGTGATTTGCCTAGGAACTGTGAACTAACTGGTGACCAGGCACTTTGCCATGTGTGATAGAATCACAGAATTACAAAACTTCAGAGCTCAGTGGCTTTGGAGTCAAGGGATCTGAGTTTGAATTCTGCCTGGCTCTACTCCTTTGAAGCTACCTGTGTGACCTTGTACATGTCATTTTACTTTTCTGGACCTGACTTGCTTCATCTGTCAAACCAAATTCTGGATGATTTGCCTTTTTAGTAGAACTTTATATACAGCCTTAATGTCCACCTAGGGCTGTGGGGTTATTTCTACTGGAAGAGGAGGCGACATCACTGCACAAATAGCCACTTGGCTGTAGTCCAAAGTGAGTGGCCTACGCCACATACATTTGGAGGCTATGAATTTTCATTTTTGCTCATTTCTCCCCTCTGGGCTTGTTTTCCCACATTCTCTCCTTGAATCACTTGTGATGGAGAGACACAGGTCCTAACACCTCTCCAGCTCCCAGAGTGGCACAGAAAAGCCTCAGCAGAAAAGCAATCTCTATGCTCTTTTGTGCATGAATAGCCAGCCCTACTTATAATCCCTAAGCACACAGTGCACCATGGAAAAGAGGCGATGGCCACAGGGCAGCTCTGTTCCCTCGCAGGGTACACCTCAGGGTAAACGCAGAAACAGGCACTTTGGGGCATCTCAATATTGCAGTGCATAGATTTGCATTCTATCTGTCTCTCTCTAATATCCTACTATTTTGAGTGGAAAGAACTTTAGAAATCCCCCATTTACAAAACATCTTTACCAAAAAGAAAAGACCCCAGGGGTGTTTTAGTCCAATTCTCTGCCTCAACAGAAATTCCTCTCTATGAGAACATGCAGGACTAGGAGTCCAGACCTGCATTCTAGGCCCCATTTACTACTAACTGATCCTAAGGCCTTAGGCAAACAAACCAACTTCACTGAACCTCCATTTTCAGATTTGCAAAATAGGAGTGATAAGAATCTGTGTTCCTACCAGCCTTACTTACTCTTGAGGTTCTTGGGAAGGCAAAATTACATAATAGACACGAAACTGATTTAACAATCTAAAGGCCAGTTGCTCAGATTTAAGACCAGGATGCCAGAAACCTTTGAAGGGAACGGTTTACAAGGGAATGGGTTTTCACTACAATGCCCAGCCTACCATGAAAGAGACAATGGAGAATGGTCTTTAAATGTTAGGAAGTCCTTTCCCCAAATTATTGTGTATACTACTTATTTTGAAAAAGAACCTTCCTAGTAGGATATTTAATCATTCTCTTTTCTATTCATCTTAGTGAAGCAACTGTCTTTCCCTTAGCAAGTAATTGTTGTTCCTATTTTATGGATGGGGAAAGTGAGGATTAAAAAAAGAAACTACCTGCTCAGTTCTTAAAGCTAGCTAGCTACTATCAGAGTAGGGAATGGAACCCAGAGCTCCTGATTTCAAATTTCACTACACCCCTCTAGGAGTGTGGCAGGCCGACTCCTAGGCTCTCAGGGCCCCCAGTGTCCAAACATCTTATTGCTCTCCAGGGTCCTCCTGGCCCAGCTTCTCTGACAAAGCCCATCATTAAATCTCTATATGTCACCGGCAGTCGAGCTGCGAGCCTGCCCTCAGCTTATCGTAGGAGGAAGAGGTTGGGGGCAGGAGTCAGAGGTGGGTGCTGTGAGTGGGCACGGAAAAAGAGAAGTAGAAAGGTGCGTCTGTGCAGCAGGGAAGGAGGGGGAGCAGGTGGGCGTGGGTTCTTGGGGCCCCTAGAGGTTAAGTTTGAACGCGGCTGCTACCCGAAAATAGTTTGACAGCAGCAGCAGCAGCAACAGTCAGCCGCCACTGCCGCCGCAGTAACAGCAAAGACAAAGTCGCCCGCTCAGCCCGGGGTGGGATGCAGCAACCGGAGGGTTGTCACGGAAACCTTGGCTCCAGGCACCCCCACCCAGCCATTTTCTGCTCGCCATGGAGACAGCGCGGTGGAGGGAGGCGGCGAGTGGCCGGGAGCAGGTGGCCCCCACCCCCAATGCGGACCCTGGGGAAGCAGCAGCCGCCGCCGCAGGAGACGAGCAGGGTTGGGGGTGGGCGGGAAGGTGTGGGCCCCAAGATCAATTCTCCAGTTCTGAAAACGTGTTCAAATGTCAATTCTTTCTCTCTGCTTCCCCACCCCCTTTTTCATTTTTTTTTTTCTATTAAAACAACGAAATCCCCTTCCCCCTCTTCCTGGCTTGCTTTTCAGGTTAGCACAACGCTGATCTTTTAAGAATGAAATTTGGCAGTGACAAAGAGCCTAATATGACCTCATCCTGTCTGGTGTTTTCGGGAAAGGCAGCCAGAAAGAACTGGGCGGGAGGCGGGGCCCGAGGGTGGGGGGCGGGTTTGGATAGAGGTGGAATTTGGTGGGGAGGGCCAAGGCAGGGATGAGGGTCAGAATAAACCCTTTCTCTAGGCCTGCTACCTTGTAGCTGCCATGTCAGATTGGCTATTGAGTCTCTGGTGGGGTATGTGGAAATGTGGATACCCACCTGGCCACTGCCATTAGTTCAGTTTCCAAAAGGAGAAAGGACAGTCTCTTCAGGCTTTCTTTGTCTGACCCCTTAGAGGGCCCTCTCATTAAGGTCTGTTACGAAAATAATTAGCATTAGGCCAAGTACAAAAGTTTCCAAATCACTCCCTTCCCTAGCACCGCCCCTCCCCCCCAAACTCACATGCTCAGACTCACTTCCAGGCCCTCTGAGATGCATGGAGCTGGGGTGGAAAAGCACAGGGCTGGAAAAGACCTGAAGAGGTTAGCTAATCCAGCCGCCTGCCTCCAAGCAGAAATATATTCATAGCATCCAAAAAGGAGGGAGGGAGAGGAGGAAGTTTGCTTCTTCCAGACTTCTAAAGCTCTTCCAGGAAAGACATAAAACTCTGGTCCTTCTTCACGTCTTCTGATATCTTCTAATTAGCCGTGTGGTCTGGGTCTCAGTTTCCTCATCTGTAAAATGAAGTTGGACAAGGAGATTTCTTAGGTCCCTCTCAACTGAAATGTTCTATGGCTTTCAAATTCTTAGGATCTATAGGTCTCTAGATTGTCAGCTGAAATGTGAGCCTTTTTCTTAAAATCTGTCTTGGCTAAGACTTTCAGCTCCTCAGCTGCCTCCATAAGGAGACCCGAGGAGGCTTAAGCACAAAGGGTCATGAAATCTTAGAGTCACTGAATTACATGGTTGAAAAGGGCCTCATTGGTCAACCTCTACCTGAACATATCACATTGCAACCACACTGACAAGTGATCATTCAACTTCCACTGCAGGAAGACCTCCAGAGACAGGAAAATCATTACCTTTTAAGGCAAAGCCTTTTCTACTTCTGAGTCTGTTCCAAAGACCCTCTAACCACACTATGATCTTGGGCAAGGCATTCCAGCTCTCTGGGCCTTAATTTCCTCTTCCTTAAAAGGGGAGGCGGGGAAGGTGGCTGGCTGCTGGAGGACTAAGTTCTGTTTTGATTCTAATTCACTGAAATGTCTTCAATGGATTCCTCTAAACTCCTGAATGTCAGTCATCATCTTTCCCTTTCTCCTCTACCCCAGCACACCTTACTCTTTCCAGTGTCTTTTCCCCATCCTATTTGGGACATCCTTTCCTCCTCTTTGCCCTCCTCCTGGGGCCCCAGTGTTGCTCCAGAGCACAGACCACACCTACCTCCCCAATCTGTCTGTCTTTCCAACTCGTCCCTGGCCTGTTTGATGTTCAAGCCGTAGGCTGTGACAATCATATCTGATCATTAATAATGCAATAATGGAATAGTGACTGGAGAGACACTTGGATAATCAGCCAGCACAGGCTCATTAGTGGCACAGAACAATCACGGCGATGTAATAACAGATCCCAGGAAATTTCAATTAAACCTGGAACTTTGTTAGGGTTTCATTTTATTTTGAGCACGGCAGAGGAAGGCATAATTGCAATCAACTAAAGCCAATGCAAATCTCTTCCAAAAGAGACCCTCTTCCCCTGGGTATGGAAGGGAATTAAGTCTCACTCTTCCATCGTGCCTGCCCTTCTCCATTCCAAGCCATTTAATGAACTCCTCCCCTGCCCTAGAGAATCTCCAGACTGATTGAGTCTCTGGCTCTTGGAGTGTCAGGATCATTCCATCTTCTGCCCCTCATCTTAGGGACCCAAAATAGAACAGTCTGCCTTGGGAGGTAGTCAGTTTCTCATCACCAGAAATGTGTAAGCAGATGACCACTTGTAAAGGAAGCTGTAGAAGAAATTCATGCTTCAGGTGGGCACTGAACTAACAGTAATAGAAATAACAGCTGGCATTGATAAAGTGCTTTACAAAGTACTTTAGCTACATCATCTCATGTTAGCCTTACCTACAATGTAGCCAGATAGGTAATGTGGGCATTATTACTCGCCGTTCTACAAATAATAAAACTGCAACCAGAGAGATTGCACGACTTGCCCGTGGCCACACAGCTTACATATGCATTGAACCCAGGTATCTTTTGACACCAAAGTCTAGCACTCCCTTTATTGAATTACGCTGTCTAAAATAGGCTTGAGTTGTAGAATCATGAAATCATATAAAATATGGATGACTGCTAAGGTCCCTTCCAACTCCATGATTCTAAAATCAGGAGGGTAGACAGCTTGTCTTCTATGTTAGGAAACATGGAAGATGGCTAGTATGCAGAAGACCATAAAGAATAATTCTTAGCAGAGGAGCATGGAAGATAACTGGTTCCTGATAGAGGATCATAGGAAATCACTGGTTTGCAACAGAAGATAATGGGAAATTTGTTGGTTCCCAGCAGAGGACCATATAGACAATTGGTTACCATGGGAAATCATTGACACTTACCAGAAAACAATGGAAATAACTGGTCCCTAGGTAAGGAGAATGGAATATGCTGTTATATCTAGTATTGTTAATTCAATGCCTATTTATTGTTTCCCACCATAGGATTGTGAAAGATAATTGTTCCTCACTAATGGGAGATCAGCGGTTCCCAGTAGACCTTGGAAAAAGACTAGTCCCTAGTAGAGGGGGAAACTGATCCTTTGCTCTCTGGCCCTGAGAGGTGAAGAAAACACAACATAAGCCTTCACCAACCAAGGCCTTGCAATCCGCAGTGACCCAATATTTTCTCATTGGTAAGAACTAGCTCCACCTTTATCTTCTTGTTGTTGTTGTTTGTCTTTTTTTCTCAAAGAGGACCATGACATCAGGAAGGTGATGCCATGACTTGCAAGTGAATTGGATTTAAGTGAGGGAGGGCTGTGCAAAGTCACCAGCCTCACTTTCTCTTCCACAGCCATCTGGGTCCAGGGGCAAGACATAGATCAGGACAACTGGAGATGGTCCCCTCCTTTATCTTGTAGGAAAGCAAGAACCATTCCTGCAATGGAGGAGCTCTGGAAAAAAATTGTGAAGTAGGTAAAGCCTGTCTTTGATGCTACTCATTTCTCCTTTCCATATCTCTTCATCCCTTTTAATGTCACACATCCCTAGTGCCAAGTGCTCCTATGTTGCTCCATGGTTACTCATAGCAACTCACTGTGACTGCCTACTCAGTTCTACCAGCCCACCCTGGATAGTTTCCTGAGGTCTAGAGCAAGTCCTCCCTTTTTCCTCCTCCCTCCTACTGAAACTTACTTGCTGGTGTCCTATTCTGTCTAAACCAGCTGTCACATCAGAAAACCATCTGATCAACTAACCCTGGCTGATAGCACTCAACAATTACTTACTGAGTGTAATTTAATAGAGGATTATGGGAGTTGGCAATGCCTTCAAAAAATCTGTGTTTTCATTCATGTGACATTCCCTCCACAGGTGCCAATTGCAATCCATATATCCCTTAGTCAATGGTCTTCTAGAGTTGCTATAGTGACAACCCCTACCTCCAATCTCCCAAGTTTATAATTTAATGGCATGCCCTCTGCTTATGAACTTCTCTGAAGTTAGCTAAACTGGTTGCCAGAAAATAGATATATAATGCATTCCTGGGCTCACATTCCAATGCTTCCCATCTGGGTAGGGACTTCCAGGACTTGCCTTCCATGGTCAGAACTTCTAAAACTCAAGGCCATGTTTATGCCTCACTGAGGTACCAGATGGAGATCTGTAATGGCAGAATTCTAGGCCTAACAGCAGACTAAACGAGGAGAAATTAGGGGGCCTGGAGGCTTTCTGGAGCTCCTCAAATGACACGATTCAGGTTTTTTCCTACTCTAGGGTTCTACAATTCTATGACAACCAGGAGAGGAGATGATGACTTCTCCACAGACAATTATGGATGATAGCTAGTCAGTCAATCAACATTTTACCACTATGTGCTAAGCACTGTACTAAGTCCTGGGGATACAAAGAATGGCAAAACACAGCCCCTGCCCTCAAGATGCTCAAAGTCCAAATGGGGAAGAGAACCTGCAAACAGCTATGTACAAACGATCTACACAGGATAAATGAGAGATAACCAGCAGAGAGAAGGCAATAGAAGTAAAGAGGATTGGGAAAGGCTCCTTCTAGAAGGTACAGTTTGGTCTGGGATGGTAGAAAATCACTGGATCTTAGGGGACCACAGAAACTTATTGGTCCTCAGCTGAATACCAAGGAAGGTCCTTTGTTCTCTGGCCTGGAGGGGAGAAGCACACCCCAAAACAAGGTTACCAGTGAGAACCCTGTAAGGCACCTGGGCAGCACACCTGGCCCATTCAGACAGGAAAAACAAGGAGACTAGCCCAGCAAGTACTTGATGTGGCAGCCTGGTTGTCTGAAAACCAGGGGGATGAATTTTAATCCTCAAGTGCCAAGTCTTTGACCCAGGAGCACTGGGTAAGGCCTGCAGAGAGGCAGGTTTAAGCTCTTTGTAAACCCAAACTAGCTAACAATTAGAGCTGCTCCAAAGTGAAAGGCACTGCCTTGGGGTATAATGAGTTCCCCCTCACTGGAGATCTTTACTAAACAGGGCTTTAAGGTTTGTAAAATGCTTTACATACATGAACTCACCTGATCTTGACAACAATGTTATGAGATAGACACAACAAATATTATGCCCATTTTATAGATGGGGGTAAACTGAGTCTCAGAAAGGTCAAGTAGTTTGCCCGTGATCAGACAGCTACTAAATGCTGGGGTCAGGATTTGAACAGTGTTGTCCTGACTTCAAGATTAGAACTTACTCTATTACACCTGTTGAGTCTTTTAAGTAGAGGTTGATGGACCACCTAACAGAGATGATACAGAGAGGTTTCTTGGGCAAGTATTGGTTGGACTAGATGACCTCTGTGCTCTCTTCTACCTCTGAGATTCTGTTATTTTCTGAGCCTCAATTTCGTTATCTGTGAAATGGGCATCCATATAAAAGAAGGTAGAAAAATGTGGCAAAAACATTTGACCAACAGAACTAAACCCTAGATTTCCATGGAGAGAGTTTTTTTACCTTCTCCCATTTCTTTACTGCCTTCAGAGGGACATGAGCACAACAAACCTAGCTATACTTAGAGAAGGTATGTAGCACAATAAAAATGTGGTACCTGCTAGGAAGGCCCTCCTTCCCAGAAATATCCCCTTTGCCAACTTAACAGTGTCAGAAATTCTATCATTAGTATTTTATTACTTTACCTTAAGTTACTGCCTTCTCCTGGCACTATTAAAATGCAAATACTTCTGGGAGGGAAAAAAACCCACACAAAGCTGTTTTCAGCCAATAATATCAAAGTCTGAATTAATTTGTTATGGACTTTTCTCCGAAAGAATAGTAATGCTTCTCATTCATACAACTGAAGTCCTCCACCCCAGCCACTGTCAAGTAGGCAGCACCAGTATTACTAACCCCATTTTGTATTTGAGGATATTGAAATAGAAAGTGGTTAAGGGGCTTGCCCAATGTCACCCAACTGACTCAGGTCCGGATCTTCTGAACTCCAAGAGCAGAGCTGGTCCCACTGCAACCTAGAGACAAGGAGAGGTGG